GGGGACAGTGACACGCGGCCAGCAGGGGCCAGCGCGGGGGTCAGCGCCGGGCGGGCAGCGGGGTGGGGGCTCGGGGGGTCCCCGGGGCGGAAGCACCATAAAAACCGGCCGCAGGAACGCGAAAGCGAAGGGAAAATCAAAAAGGAGCAGAAGCCTCGGTGGGCGCGGGGCAGCGGCGCGGGAGCCCTCGTGGTGCCGAACCTCCCGGCTCGTCCCACGGCACGACCCTCCCGGGGCCGCCCCTCCCCAGGTGTGAGCACCCCAGCCCGGCTCCGCTTCCCTTTTGGGGCAGAAAAGTGCGATTTAGGGGCTTTCTCCCACATGAGCTGGGCAGCGTAAAGTCGGACTCAGAGCCTGGGCAGACAAATGTCTCAGGGGTGCTGGGCTCCCTGAGGCCTTTCTCTGCACCTTCCTGCAGCACCTCCGGCCCAAACTCCACTAGAGCCCAGTGACAGCCGGGCAAGGAGCCCTCGGATTTCCTGAAGGCAGCACGGTTCTCATGGGAATGGCAGGATGGGGAGGTGGTGGTGGCTGCGGAGACGCAGAGCATCCTCTCCCGTGCCCCCGGGACTCTGCTCCTCTCCCGGGGACGCAGAGCATCCTCTCCCGTGCCCCGGGGCCCTGCCCCTCTCCCGGGGACGCAGAGCATCCTCTCCCGTGCCCCGGGGCCCTGCCCCTCTCCCGGGGACGCAGAGCATCCTCTCCCGTGCCCCCGGGACCCTGCCCCTCTCCTGCTGCTCTTGTTTCCCGCTGGCCTCACTCGCGGGGAGGATGCCCGGCTTGGGGACCGGGGCTGCGGTGCCTTACCTCGTCCGTTCGGCTGCCGGGGGGAAGCCGAAGCTGGCGGGAGGCGGGGAGGGCGTTGCCGAAATCTCCGGGGGCTGCTCGGGAATGGGCGAGTGCGGCGTGGGGGGCGGCTCGGGGGGCGGCGCCGGGGGCTGCGCGGCCGGGGGCGCCGAGGTCGCCTTGCGCCCCGCGGAGGTGCCTCGGCGAGCCACCCACGAGGTGTCCATCACCCTGACGCCCATGCTGGGGACACAGAGACGGGGATCAGCACCCGCCCGGCCGGAGGGCACCGCCAGCACCCCCTCGCCACTCCTTCGGGGTCCCTAAAAACGCCTCTTCCGCAGGGAAACTGCTGGGAATGAAACTACAGGGCAGTAGGGCAGGGCCGTGCGGGATGGGTTTGTGTCACCCACCGGCCACGTCTCCCTTCCCCAAGAACCAGCAGGCACCAGCACCCTCCAGCACCCACCGAGCAGCCTCCCAGCAGCCTGCAGAGGATACGGTACCTTTGGATTTTCCTAAGGCTGCATGGGCAGAAACAAACGATTATTGATGTGAAAACCCCCTGAAGCTGCAGAGTGCCCAGGGACAGAGGTCACTGCTGGGCAAAGGAGCTGCGAGGCCGAGGGGCTTTGAGAGAGGGGCAGAGGGGCTGAGCAGGGACCAGGCCGTGCCAGTGGTGGGACAGCGTGGGATGCCTTCTGTAAATGGGGACATTTTGGGGTGGGCAGAGTTCTGGGGAGTTTCCTGGAGCCCACTCCACTGTTCGAGGTCCCTGTGAGGTGTCATGGAGGGGGCACATGCACAGGCTGGCAATGGGGAGCTTTCCCCTGGAGCAAATGCTGCAGACCTTGAGGACACCGGGACACCTGTCTCTGGCATGGCACAGCCCCAGTGTCACCCATGGGCCACCCCACTCCCATCTGCAGTGGGCTGGGGGCAGGTGTGGAGCCCTGGGCCCACCCCAGCACCCCCAAAAGCCTGGCAGGGAAAGCCGGGGGTCCCTCCCCTGTGGGAGCACCCAGCCTCCAGCAGCTCAGTGCCACCCAGCCCAGGCACGCTGAACACCCTGTCCTGTGCCCCGGGATGGTGCCACTGCCCCTCCCTGTCCCCAGGCCGGCAGTGTCCCTACCCATCCTTCTTGCAGAACTCCAGCATCATGTTGTCGGTGGCCACGCTGAGGGGCCGCCGGGCCGGCTCGTGCTGCCGGCGCTCGCCCTGCTCCATGTCCGGGGATGGCACGGAGCTGTAGTTGGCGTTGTGGTTGACGTGCAGGGGGCTGCCGTAGTTCCCCGTCACGTTGAACTCGATGTCTGCGGGCACAGAGGGTGTTGGCACTGCAGGTGTGCTCAGGGGGTTTTGGCACAGCAGGTGGGCTCAGGGAGTGTTGGCACTGCTGGGTTGAGCTCAGTGCCGCTCTAAGTCTGGCCGGAGCCCTGCCTGAGCTCCAGCAAGCAGAGGGGGCTGCCAGAACCAAGCCTGGGGGCTCTGAGCCCCACCCCGGGAGGTGCCAGGGAGCCCAGGTGTCCCCGGGGCCCGGGCACGCCCTACCTCCCGGGAAGAACCAGTCTGCGTGCTGGATGAGCGGCTCGATGATGCCCACGATCTGCAGCGACAGCGTCGTCATCATCTCCGTCATGTTCCTGTGAGGGGTGGCAGCTCAGCAACCCCTCAGGACAGCAGGGTCCCAGCAGGGTCCCAGCAGGGTCCCAGCAGGATTCCCAGCAGGATTCCTGGCAGAGTTCCCAGCAGGATTCCCAGCAGGATTCCTGGCAGAGTTCCCAGCAGGATTCCCAGCAGGGTCCCAGGGGATCTGCCCCTCACCCCGCGCTCACCCCTCGGCCTGTGGCCACAGCAGGTTGGGTCCCAGCACGATGGCCACGTTGCTCGGGGTCATTTTGTTCAGGTCCTGGTACTCGGTCAGCTTGGCCAGGAATTTAATCACGTACCTGGAAGGCAGCTCCCAGAGGGGTCAGTGCAGGGCTCACAGCCTCCCAGTCCCCTCCCGCGCCCTGCTGGCCCCAGGCTCACCTGATGTTGTTGTAGTTGGCTTTGGGCAGCTTCTCGCAGGCGTTCCAAAGAGCCTGCAGCCGCTTTTCCTGCTCCGGGATGCTGCAGGCAGGTGGCAGAGGCCGTTATCCCCCATCCCCACCCTGCCCTGGGGCTGTGGACCCCGCTAGCCCCACCCTTGGGGACCCTACGAGACCCCCAGGCTGTCACCACCATTGTGGAAGCAAATTGAGCCCCAAAAGCTGTCCCAAGGAGAAGGAATCCCTTCTGGACCTCTCAGCACTCCATGGCTCTCGTTGCCCAGAGGAAACATCCCAAATGATGTGAACCGTGCCAGAAAAAGCCCAAAGCATCCCTGGGGAGCCAGGCTGTCCCTGCCCGTGCCACAGAGGCACGGGGACATGTCCCAGACTCACTTGGAGGCCTGGATCCACTCCTCGTACAGCTCGAACGTCATCAGGGGCTCGGGCAGCTCCCGCAGGTAGGACTTGAGGGCTCCTGTGGCACACAGGGGACACAGGGTTGGCACTGCAGGTGGCATCGGCTGCTGGGCACCAGTGGTTTTGCTCCTGGGCACTTGGACCCACATCCCCCCAGCCTTTCCCCACACCACACCCCAGAGCACCGCCGGTTGTCCCTGCTTGGGGCATCCTGTGGGACCCCCGACCCAGCGCCCGCCTTGCCCCTCTGGGCACCTTCCCTCTGCATGGCAGCACCTCTCTGGGGCACTCGCTGCCCCAGTTTGTGTCACCTCACTGATCACCCTGCCCCGTTAGCCAGGCCACTCGTTAATGACAGAATTAATTGAACAAAACCAGCCCCAGCACCAAGCCTGGACCGCACCACTGGTTCCTGGTCTCCAGCAGGACTTGGTGCCACCGACCCCCCTCAGGGTGCCCGGAGGGGCCACCCGGGCCGAGGAGCCCCACCTGCGATGGCATGGGGGTCAGCTGAGTACTCCTGCACGTCCACCACGCAGCAGTCCAGGGCAGCCTTGAGCTTCTTCAGCTTGGAGGCCGAGGGAGCCACTCGGAAGAGCCCCTGGGCAGAGATTGTTGGACAGGGCGGGGGGCTGGGCACGTCCCTGGAGCCCCCCAGATCCTCCCCCTGGCCCTGGGGACACCTGTGACAACCCAGCTCCTCCTGCATCCCTGATTCCAGTAGGGACCCAGCTCCTCCTGCACCCCCAAACCCAGCAGGGACCCAGCTCCTCCTACATCCTCGGCAGGGACCCACCTCCTCCTGCATGCCACACTCCAGCAGCATGGTGACACAGGCCTCCACGGGGAAGGCAATCTCCCTCCCGCTGACAGCCAGGTGCTCCTCCAGGGGCTTCCCAAAGGAGGGCTTCTCCATCCACGCCTCTGTGACGGGCAGAGGGGGCAGGGGAGGGGGAGGGTGGTGCCAGATCCAGCAGCCCCTCCCCAGAGGTCACAGCTTTGGCAGCACAATGCTCTGTACGGGTGCTGTTAGAACAGGAGCCTGCAGCTCTGGCCTTCTCCAGCCATCACAGGATTTCAAAGGATAACATTTCCCACAGGGATAACCACAGGCAAACTTTTGCAATATTCTTCCCTCCTTCCATCCCGGTGTAAGGCAGGGATGGGATGGGATGGGATGGGATGGGATGGGATGGGATGGGATGGGATGGGATGGGATGGGATGGGATGGGGTGCTGGGGATCCCCTCCCAGGGGATGCAGGCAGCACAAGCAAAGGGAGGGTGCTCAGCTGTCCCACAGGGTCACAGAGCCCGTCCCAGCCCCTGGTGCCACGGGCAGGGCCAGAGCTGTGGGCACTCACCCTGCTGGGCTTTGATCTGTGGCAGGAAGTTCTGCAGGAGCGCCAGGGACTTGCGGTGGTACTCGGCCTGCACCTCGATCAGCTGTGGGGACACCAGGGTCACCGCGCTGCCGGGACAGGGACGGAGGGACAGCCCGGGGGGTGGCACTTACAGTTTGAAAATAGTTTGCATAGTCGACTTCTTTGGCCACGAAATTGTACATGTCAGCCGAGAGCTGGTCCTGCGGGGGCAGAGGATCTGTCACTGTCCCTGCCCCGCTGCCCTGGCAGGGAGCAGCCTGGTCCCAGCCGTGGCACAGGGTTAAGGTTGGGTGTCAGGGGAGCTCAGGAGCCTCCCCCACCGCAGCCTGAGCAGGGCCCAGGTTCCCCCAAAGTAGAAGGGAGTTTGGAGTCTCTCTTATCCCAGGGAAGGGGGTGAAAGCCCCTCTTAGTGCTTGGAAATGACTGAAATCAACCCAGCACGGAGAAGGTGGAGAAATGTCTCTGCCAGTGCCAGGGCTGGATGTGCCTGAGCTCCGCCAGGATGGGTTCCCGAGGCATGGAGCCCCTCCAGCCCTGAGGGATGTGCAGGATGGGGACGGAGCAGCTGGGGACGTCCTGCTTGGCTGGGGAGCATCACCCGGAGGTGCTGAGCTGGGTCTGGGGCCAGCCAGGGGAGGAGGTGCAGAGGGGTGAGAGGAGAGGCTGCAGCTTTCCCCCGAGCCGGGAGCCCCCAGCCCCCCGGGCCCCAGAGCCCGTACCCGGCAGATCTCCACTCTGTTGGCTGCCTCCTCCATCTCCTCCCTGAGAGCGTCGGCCTTGGCCCCCGAGGGCTGCAGGTTGCTGGCCAGGCCCGAGGACTTCACCGACTGCTGCCACCTGAGGGAGGGACAGGGACCGGCCCAGCGGTGACCACATCCAGGGCGGCAGGGCTGAGCAGCGCGGGGACATCCCAGCCCAGCTGGATCCAGCCCCACTCCCAGCCCCGCCAGCCCCACTGCCCACAGCGAGGCAGGAATTCCTTCAGCAGGATAAGGAGCCCTATCCCGGGAAGGAATTCCTTCAGCAGGATAAGGAGCCCTATCC